GAGTAGGTAAATACGATGATTTGCCAATGCAATGAGGATTTTTACTCTTAAAACAAGGTAATTAGATTAAACACACTTGAAACAAGACAAATAAATAGTTTTCTTATTTTAAATGTAAATTGTCTTGTTCCATTGGCAAAGGGTCTCACTTACCTCCTCAGTTCAAGAAAAAACGACTTATGAATGAATACATTTTGATTTTTTCCAGTGCAGAAACAGGTTCACGTGCAATTAGGAGATAATCTACAAGCAGAGACATATTGGTGTTCTCATGGTATTAAATCTGCTCATGTTAAACGCTCCAAATTCACATGGAGAGTAGTTCATGGGTTTGAATAAAGCCGTTTGTATTATTACTTATTACACATGTGACCTCTTTATATAATCCTGACTTCATAGTTGTGGCTGTAAATCTAAAGGACACAGCAACATCAGCACTATAGTGAGTTTTTAAAATGGTGTCGAGAACCTATATATCCTAAATACCATAATTTACATAGGATACAATGCCGGTTAATATTCCTTATTTTAAGAAGATTATTGTCAGATCTTATACACTGGAAAAATCCCTATCTAGATAAGTAATTTTTTCTTAAAATAGGGGGATTTGTTCTTGGATTGAGGAGGTAAAAGTGACATTTTGCCAATGGAACAAGACAATTTACGTTTAAAATAAGAAAACACACTTGCATTGTCTCATTTCAAGTGCATTTTATCTAATTATCTTATTCTAAGAATAAAAATATTAATTCCATTGGCAAACCACCTCATTTATCTACTCAAATTAAGGGTAAATACACTCAATTTAAGACATTTTTTACTTATTTTTAGATCATTTTTCCAGTGTAGGCCCAGATTTTTTTCTTTCATGCATCTCAAACCTCAAGGTTTTACATTTGAAATCTGATAAATTATATATTTTAGATCCTTCTGAAGAATAAAGAGCAAAAGTCTTCTATTGTGGGTTTTTAGCTGCCGTCTCTATGCTCCCCTTACCTGGAATAGCAGGAAATGCTGGTACAGAACAGCGAGTTCCCGATGGCGATGAGAACAAAGTGTTGATGGATCCAACTGTTCACCCAGCAGTCTGGCATCACGTAATACCCATAGCTGATGGCACAACCTGGAAACAAGCAGGAATGATCAACAGCCTCTCACGTGGTTTTCCTTCAGAGGATCCATTGCTATTTAACTTTCGACTGAAAATGTGGCCGAACCTCAGGAATCAGAACAACCTCTGTGGGTTAAAATAAATTTTGACTGTATTCACACCATCATCTGTGGGTTTCATGTTGAAATATAAGGTAGGATTTCTGTGATGTTCCAGATTTAACCACTAGAGGTCCCCAAAGGACCAACTTTTAACCTTTTTATCTGCAGATAAAAGAGATCAAGTTGGCCCTTAGATAAACTGGATTATTCCAGTTCAGTGCAGCATTTGGTTACGTTGGTTTTGCTATTTAGATTTTTCAGAATCTTCTACGTCTGAACTCAATAGTCTAGTTATTTCTCTTCAGATTATTCTTAATCCTGGACCAAGTATGTTGAAATGGTTCAATGTTTACACAGGTAGAATACATATAATCGCCATCATCAACAGGATCAGCGTCTGCATGCACACCAGGAGCAGAAAAACGTTATCATATGAACTTCTGACATGTAAATAAGACGAGCTGAGGTCGTCGAGGAGACGGCTCTGGAACAAAGATGAAATTAACATCATTTGAATTTAACTGTCGGGAATTTGCAAGTCAAAAAAAGAGAAAACATTTATCTGTTGAAGCTCGTCAGAAATGGTCCACATGCTTCGTCTCTAATAAGGTGAATAATTGGATTGAACAGGCTGACGGTTTGGCATTTGACCTTTCAGAAATGTTTCTATGAAGTAAATCCCCCCCCAGACTGCTCTTCTTTGCTGTTCAGGCCACCTGTGTGAGGAAATGCTTCGCATGAGGAATGTTTTTCATATTCTGTTCATCAGGTTCTATGTTTTTTTATCTGACTAAAAAAATAAGCAAAGGAAAACCTTTAGTTCCAACAGTACAGACTAGAAGGAAGTGAAATTCGGTCCCTAGGATTTTATACAAGGTCTAAAGAGGCTTCTGAGGATTTGTAAATATTTAATTCACAGTGAATATCTGATTATAAATATGTGTGCTACCTAATGTTTCTTGTGTTACTGAAGTCACTAGGGCTGGGCGATATGGTTTAAAAAAATCTAATCTCTAATATTTTTCATAACAAATTCGATTAATTAGTTTTTTTCCCTTAAAGTCGT